TTGATAGCTCTCTGCAATCTCTCTGCGTAGTCTCTTTGGTGCATTGTGGTAGTCGCGTAGATGCGCGTCCAGATTTTGTACTGCGGTAGCATGCTGCTTGCAGACAATAACAGCATGCGCGGCTAGATAGCAGATTGCATCCTCAATCGCGTTGTGTGACTGTGCTGCTTGATGCACGGGTGTACTGTCTGCGGTTGTTGTTCGGCTAGCTTGCGCAGCAGACGGCTGTGCGGGCCAGCAGAACTCCATCTCTCAAACCCTAACCCTAACCCCAAGCTCTAGCAACAGGGGCTTAGATAATGCTGCGATTGGTGCAGAACGTAGCTGCAGCACTGTGAAGATGACTCTCAACGTTAGTTTAATGAAAATGAATGTTGTTGTTTGTGAATCGGCCAAACAAATTGGTGGTGAGGACCTGCCGTTCAGAGCGGAAAAACACTTGCGCTAAGCCCGTTCCGGAGACGAATCGCCCCCGCGGTCGCGTGTCATCTCGGGTAGGTTCACAAGCGAGTCGCCCACCCAAGTGAGTCGCCCACTAAACACCCGCGCCCCGCCTGCGCAGCAACAACGCGTAATGCCACAACAACGCAACATGCAAAAGACCTATACTGAAGGAGATATATTTATTGCTATCTCTGATATTAAGTCTAAGCAGATACAGAGCGAAAGACGCGCTGCAGCAGTCTATAACATCCCACAAACAACAATCCAAGACCAACACGCTAGACAACGCCCTTAACACGACTGCGAGCTGAAATTAAAGCGCCTTACAAAGCTAGAAGAGGAGGCGATTATACAGCGTATACTTGAAGAGAGTCTACGTGGAATACCGCCCTCAAAGGCGCATGTACAAGATATAGCTAATAGACTGCTAAGGGAGCGTGGTGGGAAGCCTACAGGCAAGAACTAGGTTGATAACTTCATCAAGCGTACACCAGAGCTGCGCACGCGATAGAGCCGTCTGTATAATTGCCAGCGAGCTGCCTGCAAAGACCCAGCGCTTATCTAGCCCTAGTTCAGCCTAGTTTAATTAATAAAGACGAAGTATAGTATCACAGATAAGGACACCTAGAACTTTAATAAGTCTAGCTTTATAATAGGCAAGATATCCTCTTAGCTTGTTATTACAGGCTTAGAGAAACCTAGGAAACAGAAGAAACTACAGCCTAGCAATTGCAAGTAGGTTACCCTAGTACAAGGCGTTGCTACAACAGGGCGTATTATCCTACCCTTCCTTATCTTTGTAGGCAAGGTCCTAATCTCCTCCTAGTTTACTAGTCTACCTTGCAACTAGGTTGTCACAGTCTCTCCTACTAGCTAGACTAATAACAACGTTGTGATGGCATGGCTTAAGCACTTCAACGCCTATACAAAGGTGACCTCTGCTAGGGCATATAGGCTGCTTATTATTAACGGCCATGAGAGCCACTGCTCAATAGAATTCCAGGACTACTGCAAGGAGAACAAGATTATCACTCTCTGCATGCCACCACACTCATCGCACCTCCTGCAGCCTCTTGACGTTGTCCTATACTCGCTGTTGAAGCGCCACTATGGCGACAGGATCTCGCTCTTGGCACGCAGCCGCATCTACCATATTAACAAAGAAACCTTCCTACCAGCCTTTAAAGTAGCTTTTAAGAGGACGTTTACAC